CGATGAAAACGCCTTAGATGTGTTCAGCTCGACGATACGGATCGACTGATATGCAACATGACCCTTTCCGGTCAGGTCATGACCTTGACCTGAGGTCAAATTTTCAAGTTGACCTTTTAAGGTCAAATTATAGTTCGTTCGATGCGTCTTGACGAGAGGAACACGATGCCGGTAAAAGTAAGCTCGTACAATGCTTGGGTCAAAAGTTATTGCAGAAAAACTGTTTCCGAAAAAATAGGCTATTTTTGCAGTTTTTGCCCCCTGCAGGCAAAACCGTTGACGTTAGGTCAAATCTGAGAGAATTACTCAGAAAGGGCGTTAATAGGGCTATCGAATGCGCTTTTCCGCGGCGCTGTAGCTCTATTGGTTCCCGAGTTATGCGTTGGCTTCTTGGAAATTTTCGACATTCGACCTGGAAATCGGCGAAAATTTGCCTTCAATGACCTCTGGTGACCTGACCTTTGACCTGACCAAAAAATTGACCGAAGTGATTTCCTCATTATTTTTGACGCTCTTTCGAACGCCGCCTTCCGCGTATCGCTACGTGGCCCAGGAGCCGAGTTAGAAGGGGGGGTGTTCAAACACCCCCCCCCCCAGCAGGGCGTGGAAATCCAGGACCCCCAGCCGGGCGCGGGTTAAGGGCCTTGAGTTCAAGGAGGCATTGCAATGGTTATATTAAAATTGCCTTCACTTGATTGCAATGTCACTCTCCTCTCACTCTCACAGCAACAGCATTTAACAGATCAAAATGTTATCACTTTCATCCTTGTCCTGCATATGCAAACAAAATTACTGAGTTGAAAAATAACGTGTTTAGCTCAAGACACACATAACAATAAATGAAATAGAAAACAATGTAGAAATACCAAAGATTTTTGGTGGAAATCAAATCAAAATAAATTATTTAGAAACCTGAACCACAGCAGCACCATTCAACTGCCTTTCCCTTGTTTATTTTCACGGTCATATCACTTTAAAATGGTTTAGCCAGCTCAAGTAAGAAGGCACCTATGAAATAAAAATACGACACGGTTACATGCAATCCCGAAAATCACCAAAATGCACGATAAATGCCCTGAACCCTCAAAATTACCGCGGAAAAAGAAACCAAATGCGCAACGTACGTCACAAGCAACCCATAAATGTAGATGCTTACAATAAAAATACCCTTGAAATTATAAAACATTTAACAATAAAATCTGCAACAGGAAACCTTTCTGGGATACTAAAATTGGAGAAAATAACCATTTCTTAATTCAATGAAGAACAATAAATGAAAAAAACAGAGTATGAGGATAAATCAACTCAGGATCATGACAGATGTCGCTAGAGAGCTGAAACATTCATTGCAGATGGCGCTACTTGCTACTAATGCCAACGCGAGGGGTGCACTCCGTTCCGTCGGAAATCCTTCTCCCCCACGCCGCATCCCCCAATCCGGGCTGGACAGGCACATTTATATCATGCGGGCTGCTCCCTTGGAGCAGCGCCGCTGCTCCCGATGAAGTGCACCCCGTAACCGGGTACAGGGAGTGCTTGGGGGGCTGCTCGCCGGTCGGCCTGTCCATTCGGACGGGCTCAGTCCCGGGGGCCGGCGACTCCCTAGGGTGTCTGCCCAGACCAACGTCTCCCCCTAATTCGGAATTCTTATCGTCCTTCCGGCTCTGAAATTGTCTTGTCTGACCGAAAGGGTCTGACCCAACAAAACAAACAAACAAACAAAGGTGCAGCAGCTACACGCATTGCACCGGCCGTCGTTCCATAAAGGACTGAGGACAGCCAAATAATTTCCCTCCGCACTGCGAACCCTCTGAATGGAGCTGGGTGGTCACCTTTATCCGACGTGGGTTGCTCTGCCTCTATATTTAGAAATATTGGGTAGCTTTATCCCTAGAGCAGACCCAATGACCTGCACTGGACGGTGACCGTTTGCAGGGCTGCATAGTGCAGGTTGGCCCATGTCCACGTGAAGGCTCAGCCTCGGCGGAGCACCAGACTCAGAGTACCAGCCCAGATCTATTTCGATCCCCCTAATTCCTGTCATCCTTCCGGCTATGCAAGGTCTCGCAAAGGTCTCTGTGGCCTTGGACGGAGCTGCGCTGGCTTTTCACTTTTTTAGATTCCTCTCTAATTTCGTGAAACACTGAGAGCATTCGTCCTATTTTCATTTGAATTATCACCAACTGGACGGACAAAACAGATGAAGTTGACAGACATAACAATTAAACTAGGGAAAGAAAGGCAAAATTTTTGCATAATCCTACAATAGATTTTGAATGTCAAGCTAAGCTAATCAGTGTGTCTGCAGGATTCATGACCATCCTAAAATGCACCAATTGACACGATCCCCGAATTCATCCACATCAAGCTTTCAACCAGTTCGAATTCACTACACCTGACTGCAAAATGACCCGACACTAGGAAATAGACCGCAAGTCGGACGGTGGCCATTTGAAATTGGCCCCGCCAGTGATTGTCCTCTGGGTGGGGAGCCAATTCATGAGTGGAGTTATGACGCTCGTACGTTACCGAAGACCGCCTCAGTTCCTCCGGCATGGACCCTCATCACAATTCAGGTCGGGTCAACTGCCTCTCTGATGAGTCTCCGTGGATCCAGGCTAGCATCAACTGGCTCTGAATGGGGTCCTGCTGAGGATTTATATGCCCGCACATGACTAACGACCAGGAAACCAGGAAGGCACTATACGGTCACACTATCAATTGCACTCAATATTTTTCTGCCTGATTTGTCACAGCAATGAAAACTATTTAAGCACATTGTGAATAATCGTACCTATAGCATTTTATCAAATAAAATAATTAACAATCTACATAAGGCGAATGGTACCATTCAAAGATTCATACGTCATCGGCCCTCGCCATCCTCAGGACAAATCCATCCGCGCCCTCCTCAACCCTCCCTATCCGGGCTAGCGTTCAGTCCGCCTGACAACCGGTGGATGAGGTTGGGTCCACACCAGGACCCGTCCGAATTCTCTAACGGGGTGACCGTTCGGGAGGCGGGCGGACTGTCCCAAACGGGGCAATCCGGTCCCTCCGGGACGGTCTCGCCTCTGTGGCTCACTGTCGGTGTCCCGCACAGCCCAATGTCTACACCCTAGCCTCTCATCCCATAGCTCTGCAATGGTCAGTTTCAGACCGGAAGAGCTTACTCCCAACAAAAGAAACAAATTCAAAGGTTACTGACGCATTTTCAGCAGACAGTATATTCCCGGGGACAATGTTAGGTTCTGAATTCCTACTGGCCAGCAGACATGTGCATGAATCCGAGAAAATGGATCTGGGATCTGATCCCACGGATCCTGATCTCGGATCCGTCGGGATCATAGATCCAGCTCTTTAATTTATCGAGAGATCCGTAGGGATCATAGATCCGAGTCTAGTATATTTGCTTGAGATCCAATGGGATCATAGATCCTCATTTATTTTTGGTCAACACACAAATCCCAAAAGATCACTCGCTATAACTCACAAACGTTCTTATTTAGTGCTTTTATGTGATAACACGTCATAATCCATAGTTTTATGGCATTTATTGACAGAGAAACACTTGGAAGCCTGGTTTCAAATGTTGTTCATGGTGGGATCCACTCAGACCATAGATCCATGCTTTTGGTTTATTGTCAGATCCTGTGAGATCTCCAGGACAATTTTTTCACGCCGGATTCGGTGGGATCATAGATCCGAACCTACAATTTGCCTCGAGATCCACTGAGATCATAGATCCATTACTCGGATCCATGCACATGTCTGCTGGCCAGGTTACCAGCGAAGTCAACTAAAATCAAATTGACCCGTCAGTGTACGAGGGGCGTTCAAAAAGTTCTCGGCCCAACCATGAAGGAGTTGGAATTTCGGCCTGTAACGCGGTGCATTCAATGATGTGTTATTGGGATGTCCACTTACGTAGCCATTAACCAATCTGCCCTGTGATTGGTTCAGGCTGCTAATTAACGGTAACATAGTTTGCCATTCCCGGTCAGAATGGGCGACGCCCAGAAGAGAACAGTGATTTGGTTCATGCATTGCAGAAAAATGCACAAAACGTTATTCACGAAAAGCTAGTGCCAACACATGTTGAGGTTTGTCTTTCTTACAGTAGCGTCAAAAAGTGGGCATCTCTGTTCAATTTTGGTCAACAGATCATTAATAGTCACCCCCGCAGTGGCCAGCCATCAACAGCATTGTCTCAAGAAAATATGAAAAATAAGCACTTCTTTGTGAAAAATAACAAATGTTCTGGTTTTGAACAACGCAGCAGAAGCGGAGGTGTCTATCAGCCTCCTCAAAGTCATTCTTCAACAGCGTATTAATATGTTTCAGATCTCTGCAAGATGCATCCCCCATTTGCTGACTCCAGAGAAAAGGCAAACTCGTAAGGAGGCGTAACGCGAAAATTTTGGCCCCTATATCGAAGATCCAAAAGAGGTCATTGAACTACTTGTTACCGTGGAGGGATTGTGGGTGTCACATGTTGACCCAAGGGCGTGACCGAGTTGCACAGGTGGAAGCACACTGATTAAAGGCCACCAAATGTGTGCGACGTGTTTAAGTCAGACGGCAAGGTGACAGTGGTTGCATTTTGGGATACTGACTGGTTAACTGCTGGTTAACTTTCTAAAACAGAGGCGCACAATTGATGATGAATGCTACACCCCCCTTCGATAATAGTTGCGAGCAGCAGATATAGAGGAGAGACTAGGGAATATAGTGTACGCGATCATAACGGTTTTGGATTAGTAGCACCGATCCTCCAGCCTTGTAACAATCGCGTCACCATTGTAACCCAGCGTGTCGACGCCATGTTTTTAGAAAACAATAGATTGTCCTGCGGCTCTTCATCCGGTATCTCTCGCAATCGAACGAATACTATAAATGGCGACAAGGATGAGATTCCTCGTTGAGTGATAACCACTGTGGTCGAACAGTGTCGGTAGTCTTGCCGAGAGGAATTTCGAGTGCGAGTTTATCAATTCAGAATGAGCCTGGACGGCGTGCAGCCTCCCGCGCCGTTTTTGCCCAGCCCTGGAAAACCCGCTGTTGACTGGCAGACATGGGAGGGCAAATTTGTTAATTACCTCCTCGCCATCTCTGGCGACACCTTCAACCCTGCCCGGCAGCGCGCTGTTCTCCTTCATTGTGTTGGCGACGAAGCGTACCGGCTGTACGGGACCCTGCCCCCCGGCGTGAAGGCTGACGGCGAAACGGACTTTGACTTGGCTCTGCGCCAACTGCGTGAGTTTTATACTCCGCGCACCAACGTCATCGTGGAGAGGTTCAACTTTCGTCAGCGTGGACAACATGACAGTGAGACAACTGCAGACTTTGTGTCAGCTCTACGCGGTCTGGCTCGAACGTGTGAGTTCGGGGCCATCACAGACGAACTGATCCGTGACGTAGTGGTTGAAAAGACTGTGCACCCCAGACTCCGAGAACGGTTCCTCCAGGATAAGGACCTCACCCTGGAGAAGGTGCTGGTGATGGCAGAGGCCTTCGAGCGCTCCCTGCGTGAAGCTGCTGCCATGGCCCCTCCTGCGCTGCAGCTCGGAGCTGTGGCCAAGGTCAGCACAGGCCCACGACGCCGCACCACCCAGCCATCGTTACCCAGCCCAGCCACCCAGTGCACCAACTGTGGTCGGAAGGATCACCAGCCAAGGGATAAGTCGTGTCCCGCCAAGAAGGTGGTCTGTCATCAGTGCGGCAGGAAGGGACACTTCGCATCCTGGTGTCGCAGCAAGGAGAAGCCGCCTGCCTGCAAGGAGCTTCAGGTGCTCTCCTGCTCCACCTCAACCAGTTCCAAGATGACCTGTACCGCATCAGTGACTGCTAGTACAGGTGTGCAGCGAGATGTGCTGCTCCAAGTCGACACGGGTGCCTCCTGCTCCATCCTCAGCATGGACCTGGCACGTAAGCTGTTCAAAGGGGTGCCCTACGAGTCGTCCACTGCCAGCCTGTACGGGTTTGCCAAAACCCCACTGTCAGTGAAGGGCACACTGCCCACAGTCGTCCGCTTCAATGGTCAAGAAGCTACAACAGACTTCTTCCTGGTGGAAACTCCGAATCAAGAGGCTATCATGGGGTTGAACCTGATCAACGCCCTCGGCATCACTCTCCACCCGGCTTCCAACAGCATCTACAGCGTGGAGGCTGAAGCCCAGCCACTGCCTGCCATCGAGCACTACGAGCACCGCATCGTGCTGAAGCCTGGTGCTACTCCAACAGCCTACAGGCTCCGCCGACTTCCCCTCTCAGTCCGTGAGGAAGTGTCGGCCGAGCTGCAACGTCTGCTGCACGACGGCATCATCGAGAAGATCGACGCATCTGAGTGGGTCAGCCCCCTCGCCGTGTCCAGGCGCAAGGATGGCCGGATACGGGTCTGTGTCGACCTCCGTGGACCCAACTCGCAGATCGTTGCAGAGGTCCACCCCCTGCCTACAATTGACGAGCTGGAATCGAAACTGCACGGCAGCGTCTACAGCAGGATCGACCTCAAGACAGCGTACCATCAACTTCGCCTGCACAAGGACTCAAGAGACATCACGGCCTTCCTGACGCCTGATGGTCTCATGCGGTACACACGAGTGCCGTTCGGTCTCGTCTCAAGTGGAAGCGCCTTCCAGAAGCTCCTCAGCAGCCTGCTGAAGGGTGTCCCAGGTTGTGGGCACTACCTGGATGATATCCTGGTGTCTGGGAAAGATCACCAAGAGCACGACACCCGCCTCAAGGAGGTCATGGACCGCCTGGCCCGAGCCAACGTGACCATCAACAAGGACAAGTCCGTCTTCAGGCAGACCAGCATCGAGTTCTGCGGTCACAAGCTCTCTGCAGCTGGAGTGGTCCCACTCCAGTCAACCGTCCGCGCTGTGATCGAGGCGCCTCCGCCCTCCGACGCTCGGGAGCTACGTAGCTTCCTGGGGACCACAGGATGGTTCAGCCGCTTTGTGCCAGCGTACGCCTCAGTCGTCCGACCGATGGCTCACCTCCTCAAGAAGGACGCACCGTTCCAGTGGTCCGAAGAACAGCAGGCCGCCTTCAACAAGGTGAAACAGCTGATCTCGACGAGCCCCGTCATGCGCCCGTTCGACCCGCACCTGCAGACGATCGTCACCTCCGACGCGAGTGACCGAGGCGCCGGTGCTGTCCTCACACAGGTTCAGCCCAGCGGTGAGGAGCGGCCGGTCGCCTACTGGTCCCGCTCGTTCACGGAAGCCGAGTCCAGGTACTCCGTGTCTGAAAAAGAAGCGCTCAGTGCAGTCAACGCAGTGGAACACTGGCGTATCTACCTGTGGGGACGCTTCTTCAAGCTCAAGACCGACCACTCGGCGCTCACTACCCTGCTGACGCCGAAGTCGTCCAACCGCGCCGGAGCTCGAATCGCCAGGTGGCAGGCTCGTCTCCTGCCCTACTCGTACTCTGTCGAGTACAAACCGGGACACACGATCCCTGTCGCCGACGCGCTGTCCCGGCTTCCGCTCCCAGACACGTCCGGCGCCGAGACTGACGGGGACGACATCATCGCTCTCGTCACAGACGACGCCACAGACGCGCTCCCAGAGTCGGAGATCCGAGCAGCGTCAGAAGCCGACCCAGCGCTGAGCGAGGTGCGGGAGGCCATCCGCACAGGCTGGCCGGCCTCGGCGCGAGAGTGCTCGCCGACGCTCCGACCGTTCTTCGACGTCCGTCATGAACTTCAGCTGCGCGATGACAACATCATCCTGCGAGGCCCCGACCGAGTGGTCGTCCCGCTCGCCCTGATCGACAAGTACCTCCAAGTGGCTCACCGGTCGCACGAAGGCATCGTGCGCACGAAACAGCTGCTCAGAAGTCTCGCGTGGTGGCCCGGCATGATGCGAGCCACTACCGACCTCATCCGCGACTGCTCGACCTGCCAGGCCAAGGACGCCGTCCTCTCTCAGGGCGCGCGCCCCGCTCCGCTGCAGCCGGTCCCGCTCCCGGACCGGGCCTGGTCCAAGCTCGGCATCGACGTCGTCGGACCCATCGCAGGTGCGCCGCCTTCAGCCCGCTACGCCATCACAGTCATCGACTACGCCAGCAAGTGGCCAGAAGTCGCCCTGACATCGTCTGTCGAAACCGATGACGTCATCAGTTTCCTCAGCAGCCTGTGGTCTCGAGAGGGCTACTGTGACGAGCTCGTTAGCGACAACGGCCCCCAGTTTACAAGTGCCAAGTTCGAGAAGTACCTGAGTGACCGCGGTATCCAGCATCGGAAGTCGTCTCTCTACTGGCCGCGGGGAAACGCGGCCGTCGAGCGGTTCAACCGAACCCTCAAGACGTGGCTGCTCGAAGCCGCTCAGCAGTCGCCGCGGACGCCACAGGCCTTCGCCGCGCACGTCACGCGCCGCCTGGCTCTGTACCGCACCGTACCGCACTGCACCACCGGGATCTCGCCCTCTGAAGGTCTGCATGGCCGCCGCATGCGCCTGGACCTGCCAGTGATGTCAGCCGACTCCGCTCCAGACGCCGGCCTGCACACGCGCGTGCAGACTCAGCAGCGCCGCAACGAGCGGAACTACAACCGGCGCCGCGGCGTGAAGGTACCCACCATCCAGCCCGGCGACAAGGTCCGCGTTCGCCGCCCTGGACACACGCCCAAGAACCTGTCACGGTTCGGACCGACACAGACGGTGGTCCGTCGTCTCGGCAAAGCCACGTTCCTGCTGTCTGACGGCACACGGTACAACGCGTCTCACCTGGCGCTCGCCCCGGCAGCCAGTTCGGCAGAGACATCTGACGGCGACTCGCCTGCAGCCGGACTCGACCCGCTACCGACCGTGGCGGACCAGCGCGAGACCGCACACGCGCCTCGTCCGGTCACTCCCCGGCGCGAGGGCCTGCCAGCGGTGCGAGGAGACCCTCCTGGCTCCCCGGCTCCAGATGGACGTCGATCGGCCACTCCAGCGCCGGTTGACTCGCCGCGCTCGCCGCACCGTTCGGGTAACGAGCTGCCGCCGTCCTCGTTCGGCAGGCGTCGGTTCCAGCCCCGTAAGCTCGCCACCTAGGCCCTCGCCTAGCCCAGCTCAGACCCGCATGGCCCGGCGTAACATTTTGATATGACTCGTTATTCCGTACCGGGCGTGCTTTAACTTTATGTGTCGGGGTATATAGTGTACGCGATCATAACGGTTTTGGATTAGTAGCACCGATCCTCCAGCCTTGTAACAATCGCGTCACCATTGTAACCCAGCGTGTCGACGCCATGTTTTTAGAAAACAATAGATTGTCCTGCGGCTCTTCATCCGGTATCTCTCGCAATCGAACGAATACTATAGGGAAGCTGACTAAAAGTGTGCGCCTGATCCAGGACCACGCACCAGCACACATGAGCAGGGTGACGATCAGCGAAGCAGTGAGCTGTGGCTTCGAGTTGCTGTCACAGCCACTTTTTTCTCCGTACCATGCACCCTCTGGTTGCCACCTTTTCCCCAACATAAGGAAATTGCTTAGCAATGGCAACTTCGCTGACAGCAAGGAGACAAAAGCAGCCGTCTTGGATGTGACAGATGGGTCCAAAACCCACTAAGCTATGGAGACCCTGGGGCCTCTCGCGAAGCGCTGCGCGAGATATTTTTTGTCTTAACGCTGGTTATTTGACTCAATGAACATTTTTGGTCTAATAAGTCGACGTCGTATCTCTGCTCCTTCATGGTTGGGCCGAGAACTTTTTGAACACCCCTCGTACGTTGCGTAGAGGGCAGTGTTAGGTATTGTGAGTGCATTTGAGCGTCAAATGGCCAAACACATCATCCATTGCAATAGCTCTGAAACTGGCTTTTTATGGTATGTAGGGGAGAGTGGGGCAAAGCGGCCACCCTAACGCTTTTCACGATGTCAACGCTTGGTTTTTAAACTTGGAAAGATTCTTTCTATACCAATATGATCCCTATTAAGCTGCCTTTTATTTCAACTGCGTTTTATTTCCAAAGGCGTTCACATATAGAAGATATTGACAAAACTTTGAACCTATGCATATTGGCCACTTTGCCCCATACCCTGGGGCAAAGCGGCCACTGGTGTCTTCTCAAGTCCCGATTTGAGAAACAAAATTGTTGCCTCATGTACGACTAGGGTATTTGATGGTGACAAGGTTTAAGCGAGGATGGATGTTTACTTTATCATCTTCCACCTGTAGGTAAACAAAAAAAGGATTTTCATGAAAAAAACATTTAATTGCATTATTTGGTAACTCATGCAGCTGAAAAGTGGCCAAGATGAATGCCTGACGACACATTTGAATATGAATAATGTTTTTTATCCAGATGGAAATAACTTATGGCCAATTGGGGGGTGGCCACTTTGCCCCGGCCACTTTGCCCCGCGCATACCGTCCGAGACAACAATATTCCAGCTTAGCTATTAGTGGGGTAAAAAACATTAAAATTGGTAGAATACATGTACGATAACCATGCAATGCATGGACAAGAACGCTTATAAAAATTCCAAACGGTTATGGAATAACATAACATTTAAAAATTGTAAACATAGTTGGTAACATGGCAAGAAATGCTTTTCCGTATTTCACAGAACAATGGCGATGGGCCTGAAACCCCGGTCTGGCTCATTCGAACGACCGTGAAGAGAAGTATAATTGGAGACCATAAATTGGAACTGACGCCAGCTATGAAGGGCTAAAACGATGGGTGGCCGCTTTGCCCCGGGTGGCCGCTTTGCCCCACTCTCCCCTAGGTATAGATAGATAAACCGCCTATGGCATGAAAGTACCTACAAATAGGTGAGTTCTCCCTATCATTTATTGAACAAGTCTACTATGTGTCTACATAGGTGGTGTCTACTATATCCCGCGCCCCACTGGGGTCTGTGTATAACACGCCCTACTGGGGGAGGGCTATTCATAGCCCCCCTCCTAACTCCGAAACTACCGGGCCGATCGTCAAAATTCAAACGGCGTCTGATAGCCCCGGAAAAACTGTCGAACGAAACCTAATTTCATTGACCTCGAGGTTACCGATAACGTCACAGGTCAGGTCAAAGTAAAAATTATTTGCATTTTGGCTTGTTCACATTTTGGGCTCTGGCCGCCGTCTTACAAGTCAGATCATGCTCATTTTTTGTTTCCACACTCGTGAACAGATGCTCTAGATACCTTGAGGGTACCAAACTTGTACTTTGATTTTCAGGTCAGGGTCAGGTCATCACAGGTCACGGAAATATTATATCATGCGTCGGTCACGTGACACATGTTTTATGGTCCATTTAGGCCATAGATTTCGAATTTGATGTCGTCTGTGTCATTCGAGGTCATTTTGAGTCGAATTTAGCTTAGGTCAGGTCACTTTCAGGTCAAAAATGGTCAAATTTTGAAGTAAAAATTTTTCAACAAAAAAGGTGTCTGTTGGATGCTCAGGAACACGATGGTGCCATTTATATTGGTGTACGATGTCAAATACGTACTGAAAAATTGATTTGAAAAATTAGTAATTGTGAATTTTTTGCAATAATGCGTATAACTTGGCCATTTTTGAAGGTATTTAGCTAAAACTTGATAGCGTTAGTCATAATCATGCGTTCTGTCACATATATTCCGTTTTTTTGAAAAGTCAAAAACTTTTTGAAAAAAAAAATAAAAATATAAATTTTGAATATCATTATATAAAATTTTCAAAATTTTTAAAATTTCGACAATCCGAGATAGCAGTTTGATAGCGCAGTCAATTCTGAGTCCTTTCATGCAAAGAATTAGATCTAGCTTAAAAACTGAGCTCTTGGGAGCGATTGCCGTGGTTCAATGTTTTGCGTCGAAATCGGACGAACATGACGTCACTCTGACGTCATTTCCGGCCGACCTATGGTAGCTACGAAGTTCAAATTTTGACACAAGGTGTCAAATTGATGCAGCCGAAAGTAATGAAAGTTTGGCGTTGATACGTCAAGCGGTTTGGAAGTTATTGCGGAAAAACAGGAGGGGGGGGGGCTATAGGGGATATGTATAATGACCGTCTTAACACATGTATGACGTTATTTTTCAGGTTCTTCTCTCCAAGAACCTTACATTAGCTGGTAGACTAAACTTAAACTTTCATTTCGCCTACATTGTTCGAATTTCTCCTCATTATCATCTGTTAAAAGCCCTACTTTTGTCTTACGAGCAACTTTATTATTGAATTACCAATCCTGTGCTCTTCTATACATCGCATAATTAGATCACCCGTTACCTGCGCCGCTCCGGCCCCGTGTTATGGAGTGGACGGCATGCACAGCGCTGGCCCGCGCCGGTAGGACGGGTCCCGAACGCTCTCCGCTGCTCGCGGCGTGTCCCCGCTGCCACCACCATCGGTCACACCGCCGGAGATGGTCAATCTGCAGTAAAGTTGGCCGGGCCACCATCGACCTGAACGGGCGGCTCTGGTCACCAGCTGCCCCCCCCCCCACCCCCCACCCCTCCGCACTGCCGCTGCCGCCCCGCCCCAACCCCTCAGCTCTGCCGCAAGGTCATCTCTGGCTTTGTAAGCCAATAGTTGTCCACCCAGTAACTGTGCTGCTGAGCCAGTCCTGTCCTGAACTCTGTCCAATTCTGGGCGACTGGGCGCTACAGCTCGTCTGGTCTGGAGTGCTCATATGAGCCTATATGAGAGTGAGTGACTCCGGCAGTCTTGCGCTCTCTCTCAAGAAATAATGGCGGCCGCACGGATGTCTTGACAGGCAGCTGCACGATACCAGTAGCAATCCTGGCACTCGCCAGCTGAGATTAGCTGCTCAGCAGGGCTTAAACCTAATTGAATACGCCATCTAGTGCCATTCGCATCATATCTTTCGTTACATTGCGATATGTAGTCTGCAATACTAGCGTCAATCTTCTTGAACAGGCTCGGCGTAACATGTTTGAGCAAAGTCATTGTGACTGTGAGCCTAGGAGCTGTGTGGGAGCATTCAGCATAGCAGTAACAACGTAGCAGCGTATCATACATATATCAGCAGTTGACTTGAAATGAAGACTGGTACGAGTACGACATCAATATGTGTTTTTTATTGTTGCTGCGTAGGTATAAATATTTTCAACAGTTTGAACAAACAAGTAGGTAAGCTGAGCATCCAGTTACTTGCATGGAAACATGGTCTATGACTTATATAATTGTACCTAAATTACATCATGAATTTGCAATGCATCTTTCTATTAGGCACACACATTTGGCATAGCCACTGCCATAGACACGTCTTTTATCCACAATTGCATCCCCACTGGAAGGCTCGCGGGTGGCTGTTTCATTTTTTGTGGTTCTGTTTGCATATCTATGTCGTTAAATTCCCCCTTGAATTTCCGTCTAATTTCCTCAGCGACGGTCACTTGATTCCTATCCGCGGTTCTTAACCCGCGCACCGACGGGGGTCTGCGCCAACTTCGCACCGACGGGGGGGGGGGGCGGATGACCGCCCCCCCTGAGATCTCGAGAATGAAGCAAGATAACGACAAGCGGTAAACGGCATCGGATACGCACGGCCAAGATCTACAATTTTTACAAAGGTCATTTTCAGGTCAGGTCAAAGATGACGTCACAGGGGTCGAAAAAGTCAAAATGGCGGCGCTAGATATGGAGAGTTTTTCTCGAATAACTTTCGAATTAGTCAAGATAGGAACAAACTAAGGGCATCATCATCGTGATCCTCTCGTCAATCCGCATCGAATGATATATAGGTATGTTGACCTCGAAAGGTCAAGGTCAAAGGTTGACCTCAGGTCACGTGACCTCGAGGTCATCATGTATATCATTCGATGCGTCTTGACGAGCTGAACACAATGAGACCATCCACGCGTCTGTATCTTGTTCCTGTACGAAGTTATTGGCCAAAAACCTTTGGTGACCTTTGATGACGTCACATGACCTCACAGCTGCCCAACAGCAAAACAGACCTCAAGGTAGTGAAGGTTGATCGTATATGAAGTCATGTATGCTATATGGGGCCATTCCGACCCGTTTTAGTGGTAAAAACAGGGAGTTGATTTTTCCCCCATTGACTTATAATGGGGAGGTCGCGAAATTGACCTGACCTTAGGTCACCGATATCAAAATTCCGAGATATACAAATTGTAGCTACTAATGACTTAATAATATCCTGCGACTTTCAAAGGCCTCCGACATCTACTGTAGCTCTGGCACGGTGACAAAGTTGCAAAAAAGTGACTTGAGGTTGGGTCATTCAAAGTGACCTGGTGACCTGACCTTAAAAGGTAGGAGGTTCAAACTTGGACACCATGTGTAAAATAGATAAGGTTATAGTCATACCAAATTTCGCGGCGCTACGCGCCGCGGTTTTCCCGCTATTCGCGAAAAACCTCAGGGGGGCGGATATCCGCCCTCGTCGGTGCGAGGGTTAAAGCCACTGCCTAAAAACACATACGTAAAACACACTCAGAGCAGAGCGCATATGATCCGTTGTCAACTTGAACAGTCGTAGCTGGCTCTCTACCGCACGAGGGGAAGGAGCCCACCAGTAGGCAACCCTCTCCAATAGGTTGATCGCCAGCAGTAAATTCGGACAACGAGCATGCATCCTGTTTCATCACGCTGCATTTCCCTCTGGACCGATCAACGCCACTTGATATCAATTGCTTGCAGTAGTACCGCTAGCACGGTAGATAGATGAATACACAAAACATACGCAGTATATAGGCATTGAAGCCACCGTTTGCACTATACTTGCAGTACTTACCTCCGTAAGAGCTTGCGTAAACATTTTGGGAGATGTCATGCTGTAGTTACGCATCATAGCAAAAGAGGGGCAGTGGCAGCAATTTCATTCGAATATTTTCTTTTGTACACTGGCATAATCACTAACTTAATCAGTGGACTTTTTTGAAGATTTATAAATATCTCAAACGGAGCTTTACCGCATTTCAGCATTTTCGGCTCAAAGAGGCGTGTTTTCATGTAGCTTTCTGTCTACCTACATGAAACGCCATTCAGAGCCAAATATTGCGACGAGGACGGTTTTACAGAACAGAAAACATCGCTACACCAGCTCCTACGACCAGCGTTTGCTCTTTTAATCGCCGGTCCTTCATCAAGAATGCGTGTCTGTCAGAGGCAGCCGGCGCAGAATCGGCCCGTCGGTGGTCGACGGACGGCGGCCGGCCGGCGGCGGCGGTGGGGCACGGTCGGTCGGCCGGGCGGGCGGCCCGGCGGGCGCCAGTCTTCCCTGTGCCTCGGCGATGGGTGGACCGACGGCGCCTCGGAGCATGGACAGAGGCACAGATCGTGACCAAGAGAGCTGACCGGACGAGCGCCGCCGCAGAAAGAGTGAGCGCGTGTGGGTGGATGTGTTTCAAGCGAGAGCTGTGCTGGAGAGGACGAAACAGACCAGAGTTATCGTTGACATAAAGTGGTAAACAAGCTGCATAATCAAAGTGTTGAGGTGACTTCGATTAGAAGTTCGCGGTGTTTAGTCAGCGCATGGCCTTAGAATTGACTGGTGTAGTTGCTGAAGATAGCTTTCAATAAGTGTCAGCTAAACGGATATGGTGAACTACAAGATTGTATAGCGACAGACGAAACAATTTGCAGTAACTCGTTCCTTCATCCTTGCTGGGTTAAACTTCAGCTTCAGCAATCCATCGTCAAGAAAAAAGAGCTTCTTCAACGACAGTACGGCAACGGGTGAAGGCGGTACATGTGCCACAAGTCACCGCCATCGTCGCCATACTCTCCGGTAGCCCGTGTGCCGACATTCTTTCAGGCCCGGCCTGGCGATGCAGCCGTCCGTGCTCGCCGTGCTCGCCCTGCTGGCTGTCCTGCCGGCCACCGCCAACCCAGACGCTTCCCGGCTCTATGACGACTTGCTATCCAACTACAACAAGCTGGTGCGGCCCGTGGTGAACACAACTGATGTGCTGCAGGTCTTCATCAAACTCAAGCTCTCCCAACTCATTGATGTGGTGAGTGAAACGACTCGAGGAACGCTGAATTCATAGGGAGGTCTTTTATGTTCGCTTGTGCTCTAGTTAGTGAGTTCAGAGTTTTTAGGCACGTCTGAGAAAACTTCCCACGCGTTCGATTCTGGCAAAAAGAAGTAAAATAAAGCCTAAGACGTGTTACGGAAAGAGTGGGAAGTAAGAATCAAACAAAGTCAATACAGGGACGATTGAAACAAATTTATATTTTAAAGGGGTGGGAAGCCACCAAATCGAAAGCTATTGAGAGAATGGCTAACGAAACCGCTGACGTAGACCCACACACTGGCACTGGCGAGCGGGCTGCTTGCTATTCGGGCGGGCCCGCGGCTGCGATGTGTCTCCAGAGACAGCCTTCAGTGGCTCGGTCGACGGTGGACACAGCGCTGGTGTGGAAACGAATGACCGGCGATATAGCACCAGTGCTCGGGTCTGTATATCGGCCAACGGCCAACGTCAGAGCCCGCCACCAACCGCCTGGCACTGCTCGCTGAGTAACGTCGACCACTTACCGCCCAACAATCAACATCCACTGACCACCACCTGTCAAGTTTATCGGCTGCTCCCTCCCACGGTCCTTTTCCCCCACCGATCCCTTGTTTGCATCTCATACCATTCACTCTCCATTCAAATCCATCGACCACTAAGAAGATAATGGTAATAGCCGTTTTCACGACGGGCATCTGGTACACATTTGGTGCACATCTGGTGCAGATTAGGTGCAGATTTGGTCAAATTAGGTTCAGTGTATCCAAGTAGCTATCAGCTAGGGTTGCACTAGTTGTTCATATGCCAGCTTTGTCATATTATCAGGGAGTATCGTCGATTAATACACTGAAATGAATTCATAAAATAAAGATATTTGCAGTAAAAGAGATTAGGTGCAGATTTGGTCAAATTAGGTGCATTCGCCGGATAGCCCGTCGTGAAAACGGCTAGTAATAACCAACTTATGTCTTCCGAATATCCCTCGCATGTGTAGGGGGGGGGGGGGGTCGGATGGACCCCCCCATGGTTTTTCGCGAATAACTCGCGTAAAAAGCGGCCGATCGCGACGAAACTTTCAGTACCCTCGCATTGATCAATTTGACACCTACCCTGAAAATTTCATGACCCTGGCCCAAATGACCTTTCACCTGTGACCTCTTTTCCGAGACCATGTTTGGCCGGAATCGCGATTTCGCGTATGTCGGCTCGCACTAGCCGCGTGTTTGCAAGCTTTTCGTGGTTTCAAACGTTCAAACATGTGATTTGATGTTACTCCCGTGTGTGTCAAGGTCACCTGAAGGTCAGGTCAGGTCATTGACCTTTGGTGACCTCGGGTGACCTCGGGTCACTTTTTCGAGTTTCACATGTTTCTAGGCTAGTTTTTGGAGCTGAATTCGAATTTAGCAACCATTTGAACATTAACGAAGTAGATTTGGTGACTTCGTAACATGTTACGAAGCTGTCAGAGGCGGTTGACACGTACTACGAATACCCGTCACGACGCCTACTGGTTGACCTGACCTGACCTGACCCGACCTGGTCTAAATGCTTCAAGACATCATCTGTGATCAAAACTAACACGATATTCGTGATCAGCACCCCGAAAAACCCCTTAGCAGCCACACTTTACGACTTTCTAACAGGTCCCGATTTTCCCGACTTTGGGTCATTGACCTGACCTGGAAGGTCAACCAATGACCTAGGACCTTAAAATTGGGTATCATCGGCTTCCTCTCGTCACGGGCAACACGCTCGTTTTTTCCGCGAAGCTCTAGCTCGATCAGGGGCCAAACGGCAAGGGGGGGTCCAACCGACCCCCCCCCCCCCTACACATTAGAAGCTGGCAAACGCCGCACACATGCGAGGGATATCGTACGTAAGTAAGTACATGCTTACAGCACTTTTTATCTTTCGACGTATGTAAGGGTGATCGCTGAACGATAAGCATCTTAATTAACTGCCAACCACTCACCAACTACCACCCATCCCTACCGTCCACCGTCCATCGTCCACCCCCTCCCCCGCCCACCGCCCAATAACCCCGCCGGATGAGCCGTCGATTGCTCGGTCCCATAGGGTTGGTCGCCTGACCGGCCACAGTACTCCGCCGCCACCGCCGCCACTATCGCTACTACTGCTGCGAAATAACCCGAGGGAGGCACATATTCCCCGTCCTCTGCCACTCTCCAGCCCCCTCTCTCTCTCTCTCTGCTGGTGACAGGCCAAAATCGCCCGGGGCGAGAGGAACGGTCAGCCGTCATTCAGAATCGAGACGCAGAGTCACTTTCGGCGGCGAGGAGCGGCGCGCCAGAGGCAAAAAGTGGCCCCATTTGTAGGACACGGGGCGGGCGGCGCGCCGCGGCGATCAAAGTGCTGTCGGTCTGCTTCTCGCATGGTTGGCTTGGACTGGCAGGGAGTGGCGCCGAGTGCTTCCAAAGATCAGCTGAGAGGCTCAGCGTGGACTCAGATTGCTGCTGCACACAAACTTCCACTTCCATTTGACTTTTAGATCGGCTGCAGCGGTCTGGTGATGTGAATTGTAATACGAGGCGGCGTATCCCTGTGGCGGCATTCTTTTTTCTCATTTTTTATCATTTTTTTTTGTAAAGAAAGCATGCGCATGAATTTTAGTCGTCAAGCTTGATAATATGAAGGTTTATTTTTTATATCACCGAATACATTAACAAGAAAATTGGATAGGTGTTAGATGAGCCCTTAGCGAATTGATCCACCTTTGATCCCAATCTCCGCTGATTTTACCCGGTCATTGTCTGTCGTGGCCGGCGCCGTGTTCGGTGCGCCGCTGGAAGGAGAGCGGCTCCATCAGGCGCGGTCTCCCCCGAGGCCCACCCATCGGCGACTCTCAAACGCCGCGTGCCGATTCCTCGAACCGACCTGACCGCCATCCCAAGCGGAAACTGTTGGAAGTGCTCTTTGTCTCAAATCGCCGTCGGGGACCAGGCCTAGGCTCTGTTGCTGGGCTCCCTCCGGCCCTGAAGAGCCCCGAACGCTCGGAACGGGCCGCACAGAGGTCATAAAAGCGTGTAGCAGGACAGTTGGGTGTCTGAACAGTCTGAACTGGAGTTCGGCGGGCCGCTCACATGACAGATCGATAGGTGGCCCTCCAGACGGCCGTCCGTGCAGGGCGCCATTGAGGTCGGACGCACTGGATCGTGCGGTGCATACGCCGTTGAGCCCAACTGAGGTTGCAGGGTCAAACACTAATCCAAGACAGATGACAGTCGTTCCGCCAAGCCGGGGCTCCGTCTCCAGCCCATGGCTGAAGCTTCATTAAGCTTTGCGATCCCGGCGAGCTGCCCCGAAATCCTGGGAGGCACTCGGCTCGATCAGGACCTTCCGGTCTCTTTCCGGTCCGACGTTCCCGACGGGTGGTCCCACCATCATCGGCGAGGCGTCACAGAGGGACCCGAGCCCGGATCGACACTGTAAAGTCGACCCGACCCGGCTGCCGTCGGTCATAGCTTCCGCTCGGCGGCGGAGACGGCGCCGGAACGCGACCCGGCGCCGGCACCGTCAATGTCCTGACGTCACGCAGCGGGGGGGGGGGGGGGAGTGCCATGACCGCCGGTAGTTGGTTGCCGGGGCCGGTGACGTCACTGGGTCAGACCCGCTGCATGCCGGGTCGGATTAGACTCCGTTACCAGGCATCAGTCCTTTCGAACACCCCTCGATGGTGCAGCAGTGGACACGGCTGACTTATCAGTCAAAACAGGAAAGAAAAAATCAGTACACCGTTGCCATTTTTTCATGTGTACTTAAGTTATGAAAAGTAAGCTGGACATATTCAACAAGGCATTAACTGAAATTTGACATGGACGCATATTGTGTGATTATATAATAATAATACTAATGTTGGCAGACGAAACTTTCAGTGTGCATGTAAAATCAGCCAGTTTTTACGTTTTTGAGAAACAATTCAGTCATCATCCCTACCTGATATTCATACACTTCTCTCAATGGCCGTTTGCCTGACACTGTTCGGTACCAAGCACATTATTCAATGTGATTTCTACTTATTCGACTGCCGATATTGAATCAGCTGCTGATGGGATAAATAAGTAACGCCCGCCCGCCCGGCTCATATGTTAGTGTCCGCCCTGATTTGACAACCCGGTTCGACACCCATTGATGGATAAACAGCCGAACAGCTTGGATCGCTCCCATTCTTAATGTATGCCTCAATCGCACTCAGTTCTGCTGGATAGTAGGATCGGCGCTCTACGGGGCTTCCTAATATCTTTGTCAAATATTGAGCGGGAGTCTGATAGCCAATCTAATGCATACATTAATACTTGCTATAATGATATCAATAACTTGCAATTAGACCCATCGCGATTCTCCCTTTTATGAAAGCTCTGTATAAAAGCAATGAATACTGTTTTTGCATGTGATGATACTTTCGAACTTATGACAGTTGGGAAACAAAACTGATAGTGCTTGAACTGCATGATGTAATGTCACATTTATTCATATGAGATGATACGTTAACCCGCGCCCTGATGGGGGGGGGGCCATTTTGGCCCCCCCCTGTGGTTTTTCTTAACCTTCCAGGCGGTGGGGGGGGGGCAATTTTTTGCCCCCCCTTTACTTTTTTCGATATATCTCGAGAACCGCTGCGCCGATCGTCACCAAACTTTCAGTACCCTCCCGGGAGCAGCTAGCGCACATGGTGACCAAAAATTTTTCCAAAGGCTATGATAGGTTGGCCGCTAATGACGTAAGAGTGACGTCATTTTTGCCATTTTCGACCCAAAAAAAGGTTTCGCGGAAAGAGCTGTCAGGCCTACAGCTTTAGAGATACAGAAAAATGTTTTAGACATAAAAGGTGTGAAATCAAAAGGGCTACAAAACTGCTATTTCGGTTTTTCGATTTTTTTTTTTATTTTGACCCCCAAAAATCAAAAAATAGATTTTTTGAATATAATAGCCAAAAAATCCAAAAAGTTTTTTGAATTTCGAAAAAACCGGAATATATG